ACAGGTGGTTTTGTTATTTTCTTCTCAATTCTCAAAAAAAAAAAAAAAAAAAAAAAAATCAAAATGAGGAAATAATACTTGGTTTTAAGACCTGATTTCCAAGAATTTAGCGTGTTGTGTTGTGGCTTTCCTGCCTTGCTTCTGGTTAATTTTCCTCCTACTCTGTCTCAGTCTTCAAGACTCTGAGTTGAGTTAAAGCCTGGGTGCCCTTTTGGGTCCTGGTGTTCCCAGCCTGTGCTTTCTGCTGTGAACTTCGCCCTAGGGGCAGATGAGGTCCAGAGGGGCTGGAGATGGAAAACTCTTAGCAAATCTTCAGAGAAGTCACCTGCCCAGATGAAATGTATATTAATACCATGTGTCAGCCCAGACCTCACCTTTTCTGAGCAAATAACTTTTCTTTGTAGCACATCTATCAGTCTCCACCCCCCTCCCTGATTTCTGGGCTAAAGGCTCAACTGGAGAAATCTCCTGTACCTGCAGAGGTCAACCCTGAAGCAACAGAGAATTCATGATTAAATTGTGATCTAATTATCAGAGCAGACATACAAGAGGCACCAGCTAGCTGAAAAGGCAGGAAGTGTTTCATTAAAGTGATTTTTTTTTTTTCACATTTGTGGACCTCCAGGAGAGGATTGGTTGAGTTTATTCCAAGGTAGATAAACAATGAGTTGAAAAGCTCCTTCTCTCTGGTCATGGACGCATAATTAAGACTCTTCTGATCCTGGCAGGGTCAGAAATAGGGCACAAATGCAGCAGCTGAGAGCTGGACTGGAGGCAGAGTTTGTAAAGATGAATCACAGGATTATTAAGGTTGGAAGAGACCTGTAGGATCATTGAGTCCAGCTGTTGACCCAGCACCACCATGCTCACCACTAAACCATGTCCACAAGTGCCACATCCATGTCTTTTGAACACCTCCAGGGACAATGACTCCACCAGTGCCCTGGGCAGTCTTTTCCCATGCCTGACAACCCTTTCAGTAAAGAATTTTTCCCAAATAGCCAATCTAAACCACACCTAGCACAACTTGAGGCCATTTCCTCTGGTCTTATAACTTGTTACCTGCGTGGAAGGACTGACTCCCACCTCTCTGCAACCTCCTTTTAGTTTTAGTGAGCAATAATGTCTTCCCTGAGCCTCCTTTTCTCCAGGCTAAATAATCTCAGCTCCTTCAACTACCTCTCATAAGATATAGCTGGGAACTCTTAACTCCAAATGAGCCAAGAACTTTCTCAGTTCAATAGTTTGTTGCTGTCTCTCTCTATGTCCTGCTCAAGCTCCAAACAACTCCCCGGTGGTGGGTGCTGACCCATCCTCCCTATCTTTCCTTGCATTTTGTCTGAATTATTGGTGCATTTTTCCTGCAAGAATTTTAAGCAGTTATCAAGCAGAAAACTCTGCTTTGGGTATGGAGCTCTTTTTGAGCCAAAAACCACAAGAGAAAAAAAAAAATCTAAAAATGCTTCCACCTGGTATAAGGCTCACAAAAGAGCCTCATTAAACTTTGATGATTACACATTCAAATGGAGCTCAGTTGGACAAAGAGGGAGCTGCTGCTGAGGACAAGCCAGTTTTTCAAGACTCAACTCAAAGGGGCTGTTGGCTAAATGTGGGAAAGCTTGGCAAGGGATTTAGCTCCACCAAGGAGCCTGATCAGAGAGCCAACCTGACAAAGGGTTCTGGCACTTAGAGAAATCAAGGTCTCTCCAGCCACTTAAAAGGAAACTTGTGTAGAAGGAAGAACAAAGAGGCAGGATTTTTTTGTGTAACACAGGAATCCTTTGAATTGAAGAACCTGCACAGAAAATAAAGCTTCCTTAGAGGAGATGGGAGCAGTGAGGGGTTTAGAAGAGAAACCTGGTGTAGGAGTAGAAAGATACAGGACATTTTTTGGGGGGTATATTAATAAAGTCAGCAGAGTGTAAGGAAAAACCCAACTCAGGCAGGGAAGTGCTGCTGATCTTGTGTTGTTTTGCCTCTCCATCTGTTAATTCCTTGTGCCACAGTGAGTGTGCTTTCAGCTCCTGCAAAGTACATGCACTTGGACAATCCTGCAGCAGGATGACCTCAGGAGAGAGGAACAACAAAGTCAGTGTCCACAGGGGCTGGCCAGCACGTCTGCACCATAGAGCCACGTTTCTGGGGCACAGCAGCAGGAAACCCATCCAGGCAGGATCTGGGGAGCCCCAGAAAACCAGGAGAAATGCAGCCTACTTAAATGAAAAGGTCAGGCCAGGATACACCTGAGTCACCTGTTGATGGGTGGTTCAGTGGAGATTCTCACTGGAGCTGTGCCAGGTGATGATTTACAGGGAGATAGAGCAGCAAAGTTTCCCAACCATAAGCAAAAGCTCTAGCACAGACACATTTATTAAAAAAATAAATAAATAAAAAGTCATTTTCCTGTCCCATTTATTCAATTTTTCTAACTGGGACCAGCAAAGCCTCTGGTTCCCCTGCAAGTGTTTGCTGGCACCTAATCCCCGTGAACAGTGAACATTCTTCTGAGGATGGTTTATCAATGCTGATCAGCAGCAGTGGCTGAAGCTTTTCTTTTAAAAGCAATTTCTTTTCAAGATTGGGTTTTCATTACAGGGATTTTAAATTTATCCTTTTTCTGAAAATAAACTCACTATAATTTTGAAACACTTGTTGCTGGAGAAAAGACTGACTCAAATCAAAATATGTCCATGGAGATGAATACATATATGGATGAGCATATACACACATAAAAGTGTTTACATTTTGTATAATAGTTTGTGTGTATGTAAACAGTTGTATTTCCCCATAACAAATGGGCATGTAGCTTTTCCCTGAAAAGGGGGAATTTTTCCATGGAAAATTCAGACAAAACTGAAACTCTTCTCAGTGACCATCATTTCCTTCAGGCCATCTGTTGGTTCCTCTCTGGTGTCACAGAGTTTAATCAGAGCTTTCCTGCCTGGGGGGGTGGTGGCACACATGACCCTGCCACCTCCCCACCCTGGAGATGTCCCGTGCTTCGGGGAACCCCAAGACCACAAAATCCCCCACCCCACAAAAACCCCATGTGCTGCTTGGTGTCTGCAGGGCTGGTGCTCCCAGTTTAGGGCAATCCCACTGGGAAGGGCCAAGACAGTAGGTAAAAGCCACTGAGGTTCTGCCTGTGGCTCCAGGAGGGTGAGGAGCTGTGCTCCTTGAGCAGCCAAGTGTCTGGGGGTATTTTTTGGGTTTAACAGGAATTTGGATTGGGAAACAGCAGAGTAAAAACCATGTCTTTAAAGATTTAACCCTGGGAGAGGAGAGGAGAGGAGAGGAGAGGAGAGGAGAGGAGAGGAGAG